AATTGCTTGTCATGTCATATCTTGGGATCTCACTTTGAAAATTTGTTGGCGTAAGCATAATTAAATCAATTATGACTTGTTGTAATAATAATCTTTGCATTTGATATAGCGCCTTATCACATCTTCGAGACGTCTCAAAGTGCTTCACTGTAAAGTGAATTGACTGTATATTTTGTGGATGTAAAGCAGCAGCCAATTGCTCAGAGCAGTGTCCCACAAACAGTCATGGATTGAAGTGACAAATTTATTATTTTTTTAAGGGATTATTACCCCCGGAAAAGCTATTCCCCAATCGATTAATAACCAGGTTCCTATTTACTGCTAGGTAAACAGAGGCGTGCGGAGTAAAGAAACTTGCCCAACATTTCACGCTGCCGGAAATTCAACCCATGTCTCTCACTTGCAAAGGCAAGTGCTATAGTCACTGTTACAACTGATACAGTTGGCAAGAACACCTTCCATGTAATTTAAATAATAGTTAGTTGTAGAAAAAGACAAACGTTTTTGTAGAAGATTATGGAGTCCCTGTGTCCAAACACAGAATTTGATACTTCTAGTTTTCAGCAATTACCAAGATAAACATGCCATTGGCTGAATGCTCACACTTGTGGAAAAAATATTTTTATGCAACACAAATAGAATTGCATTGCATAATGGTGCTCACAAATCTAATGGTCTGTAACCTTAAAGTGATTACAACAACAACAACAACATTACATTTGTATAGTGCCTTTCATGTCGGGAGGATGTCTCAAGGCGCTGGAATAAATATGTTTCATACTGGCAAAGCTTAGCAATACTATATTTATTCCCATGATGGATCATTCTAATGTGAAGAACAACTCACCCAGGATTCTTCAGTTTTAAAAGTTATTCAAACATAACTAGCAAGTCTATGTGCAGAATGTTGCTCAGAGCAGCAGAATGAACCATCTGAAAATATTCATTGTGGAAGAAATGTCTGTAGCTAGGTAAATGACCTGAAATATTCAAAGAACATACATCTCAAGCAATTACAATACAGTGCTTTGCAATTTCCATTGATACAGCACCATTCACATTGAGAGGACATCTTAAAGTTCTTGACATTGTTGACTGGGCGCCCAAGCTGGAGGGTGGAAGCCGGAAAGGGTGCAGAGTGGAAAGATGACTGGAAACACAGTTAAAGAAGTGGGTCTAAAGGCGGATCTTGAACAAGGTGCAGGAGCTGCTCTTGTATTGTAGAATACTTTTGCTGCTGGTCCATTAATTTATCTTTCCTAGTAGTATAGAAATACCTTTAGAATTGCTCAATTGTAAAAAAAAGACATTTTATTTCAAATCAATTTTATTTTGTAAACGCTTTGAATTTTCTTTACACAAATTTCTTTCTTCATCGTGTAGTTGTCAAAAAGCTGGTTCATGTTCATGAAACTGAAACCATGTTTCAGAAACACCTGGTGCAGTAATTGAAACCATCATCATATTAGATGCGTGCCATATTATCATGGTAAAAAAATATAAGCACACTCTTGGCTGTTGCCCAATATGAAACAAAAGTTTTGCCAGGCACTTTAGTTTTGCCCCTTTAACTTCCGTTTAGACTTGTACTTAATAAACCAGTTATAAATTGTTTGTTCGTTCATCTCAGTGCATGGAGAACAGAGGTCACATTGTGCGTAGTTCTCATTATGCTTGGGTTGAAGCTGTCTTGAGAAATAGTTCTGAATTCAGCTTGAGACCAAGTGTGAAATCGTCGTGTCAGACTGTTACATCAATCTGACTCATGCAGTTGGCGCAGACTGTGAGCACAGAGGGTGGAAATGCCACTTTATCTTCCGACCATGTTGTTGCTTTGGTATGACTAGAGCGCTGCAGAAAACATTGGATGAATTAATGGGCATGATGTGTTGCCTTGCATGACTATGAGCTTTTCACTCTTGTGACCAAGATCGACTTAAATTTGTCACTGAGAAGAAAAGGCAAATGCTGCTTTTTGTCATCATTAAATTTTTGTCATTAATTTGGAAGAAAAACAGTAACTGATTCATTGATAAGTTTTGAGATGTTGAGGACAAATGTTGAGGAGCGTTTAAACTAGAATGGACTGAGGTGTGGACCATTGGACCAGAGTCATTCTTGATGGAAGAAATGCCATAAAAGAAAATTTGACCCAATTGATCTCAAAATAGGAAGGTGGAAAGGCTCAAGTATTTCACTTCTTCAGAATCAAAAATACTTACCAAGTTTTCTCTGTATAGTAATAATATTTACATTTATTCAGCATTTGAAACATCTCTAGGCTTGTGTCGATAGGTAAGTAGGATGTCCCTGGTTGAAAGGATATGGTTCTATGGTTCTGCATCAGTCATTCAGGGAACTGTTAGTGTTGGATCAGCTTGTCTTTTGTAGGCAAAGTGTAGATGTGTCCTGAATCTTTCAAGCCAAAAAGGTAGGCTGGACCAAGTTTGTTCTTATAACTTGACAGTATCTTTTATGATTAATTTACAAACTGCTTGAGATCCTGAAGTTTTCTTGCTGTTGTATATTGTTGAGGGAGTTATTAAATATTGGAAGCTTCGTTAAAATAATTAATTTGTAATTTGAATGGGAACAGACAGGCAATTTTTTGAAAACCTCTTCGTTGGGGCTGGAAAATAACTTATACTCATGTTCTTTTTTCAATATTCTGTTTGCAGAAAAGTTTGAGAGCTTTAATCTGAGAATTTAAGTTGTCCTTGTCAGATTTCTCATATAATTCTTCCCTTCGAGTTATTAGTGCATAAAAAGAATCCTGCTTCTTGTACGAAATGTGACTGCCTCTTCTGACATGGAAACTGTTGGAAACAAAGCTCATGCTGTGTCATTATTATTGAACTTCAGTGACCTAGAAATACAAAATTCCAACCTGAATTTTACAGTGGAGAATGCAGATTTAGATACAAGTCTTCTTCTGGCAGAATCAAGATATGTTTGAAGGTTTGAATATGTGAAACTTTTACAGCGAAATTGATGACTTCCTCAGTGAAACATGTCTTATTGTTTTTGCAATACATAGCTTTTTTTTGAGGGCAGGGTCTCCGTGATTTGTGAAAATCCCTTTTACGTAGTTCATTTGTGGCATGATAAATAAAAATGAATTTCGAGGACTGACAGTAATTTCGATATTTAAAATTTGAGGAGCTCAAGTTATAAAATAATAATAATTCTTGCATTTAATCTTGACCTTTCATGTTGGGAGGACATCTCAAAGGGTTGGTTGTTCAATGAAATACTTTTGTTCTGGTTGTTTCCATGTTTATTGGAGTTGCTGATGCTTTGTTCTGAAATGGAGGGGAAATATAAGTGGGGTTCAGAATTATCCACAGCTTCAAAACTGTTCACAGAGTCCACAGTGCCGTTGCCATGAAATGGCATCAGTAATTGTCTCAAGTGACACACTTCTGGTGAATCATGAGCCAGCACTCTGCACCATTCAGAAGTTTAATGTGGATTTTGTGCCATATTTTCTCAGGCTCAACATTCAAGTGATGCATGGTGACAGAGTTAGACTTCATTATACAGCAAACACAGGGGCAGATCTGTCACTGTGGCTGTCTATGCACAGATCACTGCTCGTTCTGCCCTGCTTTGTACAATTAAAGCACCAGGTTTTCCAATATCCTTCAACATGAATGTTTCACTTTTAACTCTCCTCCTGACAAAGCTGTCCAATTAACTCCCAACTGTGGCCTTCCTTAGGTATCTGTACACTTAAGCACAATTTTAAATGGCCTCATTTGTAAGCTTTATGGGAGACAAACATCAGACAGCCACCTTGAACATCTCTTAGCTCTTCAGCTGAAATAAAATGTTGAGTTGCAATAATACGAAATCTGTTTGTGTTATTGGTGGAAACGGAATCTATCAACCCTCAGTCACAGCACAATCGAGCCTTTATTCTTTGAATTATTTTATTAAAAAGAAAGGAAAATAAATGTTTGCAAAATAAAATTTTCATGGTCCATTCGTTCACTCAATGATATCAGCCTTTGGTGTTCTGTATGTAAACCTGTTGACAATTGTGGTCCCCAAAGCCCTGGAAGCTCAGTGTATAAATCGGGTGCAGTGCACTAACAAAACAATCACTCTGATTTTGTAAGAAATGAATGGAGCTGATTATTCCTCCTGTTGCAGTGATACAGTGTAACGGACTGTCTTTTTACTTGGGTTGTTTAAGAAGCTTTGCATAACTTTGCACACTTTGAAACTTGGACGTTGCTTTAGGTTTTGAGTCCATAATTGGTGCTGTTTCCCCCTTATCTCCTTTCCTGTATGAACTTCCTCTGTGCAGCAGAACACGTCTACAGTGGAATAATACATTTTTCCAAGGTTTCACTGATTTGCTTCCTTTATTTAGAGGATACCAAAATGGATTGATAGGGTAAGTTGTGAAAGCAAAGCAAAATGTTGTGTGACATAGACGTGGACAGATACAAATTATGGACTAACAAAAGTCATGATGGCGAATTGGTGCTTTGCTTCTTCACACTTGTGCATGTTTAGTTTGGCATTTGAAATTAAGTGCATAAAATGGGCAACGGCAGCCATCTAAACCATCTTAGAGAAAGAAGCTAACTGAAGAAAAATAAGACAGGCAGTCAAAAACTAAGAGTTGTACTAGATTACAGTGAAGTTTTGTCCTCTGAGCAATTGGTCTGGTTTGCGAGCTCATAGCTGAAGAGATGGTTTGAGAAAAGTGAGGCAGAAGAAAAATGAGCATCTGATTAACAGGTAATAATAGGAAGAAAAAAACATTTGTTCTTGTCTTGGGAGAGTGTTGATGGATGCAAATGAAAAGAACCCATTTTCATTTGTAATTATAAGGTGAGTGACATACATTGTACTGGATATTCCTCCCAATGGGAGGATCACATCTGATCAACTGGATTTATAATAAATGCACGACTTATATTTGCAGGACACGCCAGTCATCTTGTAACTTCTGCACTGCCTATAATAGTTGTGCATTGTGATTGCAGAAGACAGCAAGCAGTATGGACCAGTGTTTGAAGAACAGCCAATGCCTACGATCTACCCAGAGGAATCAGAGGAGGCAAAAGTGTCACTTAATTGCAGAGCCCGTGCAAACCCTCCTGCAATTTACAGGTAATAAGAAATACACACAGTTTAGTTTTCATTGAAGTATCTCACTGTTGTGGATCAGTGTGTTGCAAGTATTTAAATGGATGTCCAAGAAAACTTAACAAACAGATTTTCCTCACAATATGTTGTCCTCTATTGTCATCATTTGATCTCAGGTAAGTTCTGAGTAACTTCCGATTCACCCTTACATTCATTGAGAACCATTGCCCAGTGCCTTGTATTTTAATTGTGTCTAACATACCTGTGGAAATGCGTTTGCGGATCAGAGCCTAGCCTCATTATAACTTTATAGTTGTGCTGCCCTTTTTATTGTTGTATGTAGAATGTGCTTTGTGTTTGACATAGGTGGAAATTAGACAACCGGGACATTAACATGGATGATACCCGCTACAGCATGGTGGGAGGTAACCTGATTATCAACAATCCAATAAAGAGGAAGGATCGTGGGAAATACCAATGTATGGCAACAAACAATTATGGAACCATCATCAGCACAGAGGCTGAACTACAATTTGGCTGTACGTGATCATCATTTGTTATCAATGAGAAACCTCAGTGAAAGGCCAAAGCCCATAGTGAAAGAAACCACTAGGGCTGAAACTACTACTAATAATAATCATTGCATTTGATTTAGTCAAAAAGTCAAAAAGATTCAAAGCCCTCTGCAGAGTTGTCTGTAAAGTGCAACGAATGTGTATTTGTAGACAAATTGTAGGCAGCCAATTTGCACAGCGCCTTGGAACGCCCTCCCAACGTGGAAGTCGCTATGCAAATGTAATTTTATTGTTATTGTTGTTGAAGGGTTTTGAGATGCTTTGAATATGCTAAGGCATATTCAAGAGTTATTATGATGATGTTTCTTTACCCAAGAGGTACACAGTGCGAATCTGAGACTTAAATTAAAATGAGTTTTATTAATTAAAATTAACTTAACAGAACACAATCGAGTAGGGGAAGACACACATAAAAGAAAATTTAACTTTTACGCACCAGTGTCATGTTTTACAGTAGAAAACACTATTTAAGAAAGGTTGAGAGTATTCAAAAATACAATCATCCAATGCAGATTTTGAACCTCTTGAAATCAATTTTGTGATTTAAAATTCCCAGGGTACAATGGCAGCTGGAGTAAACATGTCATCTTCCAATCTTTTCTTGGTTCTAGATCTTGACAGATTTTCTGTTGATGAGCGTCCATCTGTGACAGTCAGGGAAGGAGTTGGTGTGATGCTCATGTGTGCTGCTCCTCCACATTTCCCAGGTAATTCAGTACAGCTCTGGTTACACTCCATCAGGTACCAAGTACATGCGTTTCGTTTTCAATTGTCTTTGTCCTGGTTTCAGTATCATCATGGAAGTTCAATATCTTTTGCCTTTATGGTAGTAAGCTGCTCTGTATGGGATATGGATAATTGTTTGTACATTGTTGGACAGGAAGTATACACTGAAGTTCACTGTCAGATAGAAGCACATGTGTTTTGGGGCGTAAGGTTTCTTTAGTGTTAGTGATGTGAGTGTTGGAATATTTTGCAGTACAGTTAAACTCACATAAGTCGTTATCAGTCAGGACTGTAACATTTAATATGATTTACTCGAAGTACGAGTTGCACGCAAACTGTATCAGTCATATAAAATCTGATTTAATCAATGATCTACATTGTGCATGCCTAATTCAATGCAGTTGGTAAGTGTGCATGTGGTAGTTTGGCACTGCAGTCGGTAAGTGCACATGCTCTGCCAGGTCAAGACTACGTTTCCCGCAATTCAATCCTTCTTGACCCGTTGCCATTTGCACATTTACCAGCAACCATTGGAATTGCATTGAATCGCGGGAAATGAAATTCTTCTGCACATGAGGCAATGGACCAAGATTGCATTTCCCGTGATTCAATACTGCAGGTAAGTGTACAAGTAATGGAGGATAGGGGAGTGGCATTATGAGTTAAGAGATGATTAATACGACTAGTACAAAGAAATTTTAAATGGTTTTGATAGGATACTGAATCGGACTTGGGTGGATGTATGACTTAGGTGATTATACTATTTATAAAGGTAAGACTTATGAGAATTTTACTGTGTTTTGAACCAACCGTGTTTTTATTTTCCACTGTGTGCCATTGATGTATTGGAGAGTTTCTGCTCTGAACTTGGATTTGCCTGGATTGGGCCACAACTGCCAAAGACGATTTAACTTTGGGCCCTCTCACCTTTCATCCCAAACGCAAAAGAGAAATACATCTGCACTTGTTCTTTTTTGTGTGTGTGCCTAGTTCTTTACTCTGTGTGTGAAGCTCTATACTGTGTGTGTGTGTTAAGTTGTATGCAACATCTGTGATGTGCAATACTGTGTTTGAAGCTCCAAACACGTGCTTGAAGCTCTTTCCAGCTCAACAACAACTTGCATTTATATAGTGCCCTTCATGTGGGGTAGCATCCTAGAGTGCTTGACATTAGCAGAGTCTGACCCTGAGCTAGGGGGAGAGGGAGGGTGGAGGTGACTCTACACACATGCCTCTGTTTACCTAGCAGTAAGTAGAACCTGGTTATTAGTCGATTGGCGGATTAATTTTCCGGGGGTAATAATTCCTTCAAAATAAATAAAAATAATAATAATTTAGTCACTTAATCAACGACTGTTAGTGGGACACTGCTGCGCACAACTGCCTGGGTGTTTTGCCCACAAAATATACAGTCAATTAACTTTACAGTATATTCTGTGAAGCACTTTGAGACATCTCGAAGACGTGATAAGGCGCTATATTAAATACAAGGCTTATTATTGTACAATTTGGTGAAGGTCTTTACTGTGTGTGTGATGTTCCATACAATGGATGTGAAAATCCATACTGAGTGAAGTTCTTTACCATGTCCTGTTGCAAACAGTTACATTTGAAGTTGCACTGTTCTTTTCCTGGGACAGGGACTCCCAAATTGGCTGGGTAGGGAAGGAAGATGTAAATAGATCCAAAGGACGGGGGTGGGGAGGGTGGGAGCAAAATTACAGCAAATGGGTTAACCTGGGAAACCAAGGATCAAACACAGTTGGTGGCTAAAAGGGCAATTAATCACGGTTTCGAGCTGAACAATCAATTTGGATTCTCACGTCTTGGCCTGTGATTGGAATCACAACAGCATTTGCACAGCCATCCAGCCACCAGGGATACCCCATCTGGATGATGGCAAGATGATCTGAATATAATTGGGAAGCACTGCTCCAACACTTTATTGACTTTACGGTTCAGAGCTTATCACAATTTAAAATCTCCCATTTGCTTACCTGTTTATTTATTTGCTACATACTTCACTTAATTTTGTTGACAGTAATGTTTGCTGATGGCTTTGTTTCTAATACATTGTGAGTGCCCAAGATTCATTCATTGCTGTCATTTGATTTTGCCAAATTGTTTCCAAGTAACTGATTGGATTGTTGCAGATGCGACCTGTAAAGCTTTTACTCTCCTTGTCCCTCTCAGTCAGTGGATTGTTTTAACACATGCATCCCTCACCACCTTGTGGCTGGTCAGAGTCAGTGCATCACACATTCCACAACTTCTGGACCCATCTCTGGGCTTTTATCTCTGGGGAAGGAAGGTATCTGTGCCCGAACAAGTTGGTGTGGCCTTATAAAAATATGATGAAACGCAGTCAAGGACACAACCTGATAGAAGCAACTTACTGGAAATGTCCAATGAACTTAAGTTGTTCTCACACATTCCACTCATCTTTTTTGTGTCCAAAGTGGATTTCTTTTGCAATGGGTTCTGTAATTGATTTAATGCACTCTCAGGTGCTGGATTTTCTTCTTGGTGTTAATCCGTTGATGTGCCTCTATACTTAGTGCAATAAATGTATTGCTTGTTGTATTGTGATTAAACTGAGACTTAAAGATCATTCCTGAATCCACAGCTCTGTAAGCAGCTAACCACGATGTTTTGTCTTTCACAGATGATCTCACCTATCGCTGGTTGTTGAATGAATTTCCTAAATTTATTATATCTGATGATCGTCGGTTTGTCTCCCAATCCACCGGAAATCTTTACATTTCAAAAGTAAAATCAACTGATATTGGGAATTATTCTTGTATAGTAACCAGCCCATCAATTTCCAAAAGTGTTTTCAGCAAATACATTTCACTCATTCCTCAAACTGACGGTGAGGGTTCATCTTTTGATCTCTAATATTGTGAAACCTAATTGTTCTTGAGTATTCATGTCTGCATTAGATTAAGTTCAGGTTGTCTGATGCACATGTCTACCAGATGTCATGTAAATGAATTTGCAAGTCTTGATTGTCAACTGAAATAAGTTTGTAAATTGTATTGTACAATGTTGCACATTATATTCGCTGGAGCTTTGGTAGCACTACATGGATGTCCTCATCACGATGGAGTGGCCTATTGCCATTGCAACAACAACAAAATTAGATTTATAGAGTGCCTTTCACATCGGAAGGACGTCCCAAATGCTGAATACCTGAGCTAACATACAATGGGGATGATTCCTGCTTCTGACATAGAAAAATGTATGTGCAGGCTTCATAAGCCTTTTAATTCAAAGTTATTAATTGAGCAGTTCCTATTATTGGGAATGTTTCCCTTATGTACTTGATTTGCAGTGATCCCCAATTTAATCCAGACATTGATGAGAACCTCTTAATTACTGTTGTGCTCAGAAAAGGTTTCCAGGGGGATTTGGTGTGATTTGATTATGCTTAAAGTGGGCAGACAGCAGCACTTGAGCAAAATGGATCTTCAGACATGTTGCACCTGAGCTAATTAAACACTTGATTGTGAGATCATGAAGCTAAAAATAATCTTACTTTGCAATAAAGGATAAATAACCTTTATATTTGGTCAAATGTTAATGATGTGACTAACAGCTCAGGCTGACAAAGTCCTAAGAATCTTCACATCTGCGTGATTATGTTCTCGAGATGTAACTGTATATCTGCCAGTCACACTGACAGTGATTTCATCAGTGACATTGCAATTTGGCCGTGAGAAGGTTGTCAAATTTGCAGATGACACCAAGTTAGGGAACTGTGGAATCAGTGGAGACAGAAAAGATCTTTCAAAGAGAGTTTAATAGGGTATACACTGGGCTGATAACTGACAAATTAAGTTTAATAAATGCAAGGCACTGGGAACTGAAAATTTGAAATGAATAGAATCTGTGTGTGGCACAGAACATTCCTAAGGGGAATCTGCAAGAGATCAAGGGTGTTAGTTGACTCATCATTCACTACATCAAAACTGTGTGAGGCAGCAATAAAAAACACAAACAATATACTGGGCTATATTGCTTAATCAGTTGAGTTCAGATCTCAAGATGCTGCATTCGGTCTATACAATACTCTGTTCAAGCCGTAGAGTACAGCGTGTTATTCTGGTTGCCACGACACAAGGGGATGTTGTGAATGCAGAGGAGAGTAACAAGAGTGATCTGCAGTGACAGCGGAATGAGCTATGAACAACAATTAGACGAAGTAGGGCCCTTGAATCTTGGATGGAGACATCTCGGAAGGGACCTCGTAGAGGTGCATAACATTTTAAATGGGATTGAGAAAGTCAACTCAGAACAATACGATAAGATGCACTGAGATAGCAGAACAACACGACTTAGGTTTAAAGTTGCAAAACACAATTTCAGGATAGACATCAGGAATTATTTCTTAACATAAAGGGTAATTGACGACTGGAACATGTTGACAGGAATGGTGGGTAGAGGCCAGGACACCAGACTCATTTAAAAGCAGCTTAACGTTCTCCCTCCTATTGACACAGGGCCACTTATCTGTTTTTTGTGGTCAGCCAGATTTCTGGCACATGGAGAACACCGTGACTGTGCTTATGGGTTCATAACTAGTTAAGTAGTTAAACCAAGTATATTTGTAAGATTCAATTCAGAGTGATGGATCTTGTTAAAGGAAGCTTGTGTTGGATATGTTTCTTTCTCACTTCGGCGTCCTAAATCCAAGTAACTGATCAGCTGAATCCAGAGTCTGAAAGAGCAACAGAGATTGACTTTTGAGATGACAGAGAACTTTTGATGTTGTGAAAATTTGTTGTATGATTATAAAACAACCTGAGATTATTGAAAAGTGTTTGTTGAAAAAAAATCATTGTAAATGAAAGGACAGACAATCAAAAGTGATTTCACAATTATGGGAATGTGTGTTTCTTCATCAAATTCAACAGTATTTGTAAATATTATGGAAATACTGACTACCGTTGCATGCCTGACATGATAGTATTCTTAAACTACCTTTTTTAAATTTTAGGTGCAATGAAAAGATATCCTGCTGATATCCGAATACGATTCACAGACACACAAGTCCTGATGGGCCAGAATCTGACACTCGAATGTTTTGCACTTGGAAAGTAAGTGTCATAAGGACATCAATGTCTCACAGTGCTGTTTGCTAGTATGAGTAAATATTGTATTACATGCAGAAGGAGCATTGGACAGTGTTTAGTTAACAGTGGATGTTAGATCCCAATATCAACCACATGTTTCTGAAAGCAGTGCTCTCCTAGTGACACAAAATAAGAAGTAACGAATTCTGGTCATTTGAAAAGGCATTTTCCCTTTAGCACTGGCATTAGTAAGAAAGCTTCTTTCAGAATAGATGTGAGCCATTAGGAATATGGGTTCACATGAGTGGCACGTCCACTCTACCCTTGATTTCTGTGACTTGCAGGAATCCTGAAAGGAAGAACAGATATGCCCATCATGAGACATTGGTGAAAGCCATCTCTGTTTGAACATCTTCACATTGCTAAGGCAATCTTTAACAAGCCCAGCATCTTGTGGAAAAACTAATGATGGGGTAACCGTGGGCTCGCTCACACACACACTCCCTCTCTCTTCCTTTAGCTTTCCCAGCCTCTCTTCCTCTAACTGTCTCATTATATCTCTGTCTCTCCAGCTTTCTCATTCTCTCTTTCCCTTTAACGTTCTCACCCTCTCTTCCTCCAGCTTTCTCATTCTCTCTCCCTTTAGTTTTCCTATTCACTCTCTCCCTCTAGCTGTTCTGTTCCTTCTCTCTATTCTCTCTTGTTGTGGAAAAATATCTGACCTTTCAGATTGAGATATGGCTGATGCTAGTTCATGTGGCAATAATGAGCAAATAAAGCTTACATGTCATAGAATGAGTAACCATGAATGGTTTTTAGATATGTCCTTCCAACTGAAAAGGATTCTAGGTTATTAGATGATATAAATGTGTTCAAGGAATATTGTAGGAATGAGATGCTGGATGGAGCATTGCTCAGCCCCTGATGAAATTACTATTATATCTCTGTGTTATTCCAATTTCAATTATAGTAATGGTTGAAAGAGCTAGAAAATTGTTGTTCTGTTCCTGGACTGGACAGCTTTGATGTATTCAGTTCAGTTTTTCTCTCATTAAATTTAACATTTTGTATATCAAATTGTAAGCATAATAATATGTTAACTTCTGTTTTATTTAGACGAACATGTATAATTCACATATCCACCCTTATACTTGAATTAGAAAAGCAGAGAAGAGAAGGCAAAACTAATCCCAATTGTGAATAGGGTGAATTATGAAAAACAAGTATGAGAGAAACTTGAGCTCTTCAATTGGGTAGGAAGTGAGTTAAGAGGGGCCTTTTTCAAAGGTTGTGAAACACAAAATGATACAAGTAAGGTAAACCCAGGTGTTTACCAGAAAGCCTTGACACTAAGGATGGAGGACATACAGAAAAAATAGTGAAAAACAAATTCGGAAAAGGATCAGAAAAAAAATCTTTTCTTACAAGCAAAAGGCAAAAACACTGTATTTATTGGAGATGAAATGATAAAAGGGTTAATGAAGTCAGGGAATGAGATTTGGCAGTACAAGCGATCTTTTCACACACCAGGCTTGCCTTACATTCCCATTTTAGGGAGGTCCAATCAAGAAAGGAGAAGCGATTACCAATGTAACCAATTGAATCAAAAAAAGTTTGCAAAGGGATTCAAGAGTGAATCTGTCTACAGGCTCTCTTTGAGTGATAGATGCTCTGGGTGATAATCTATAAATCAAGAGATATTGATAGCACTTTGCTTGCCTGGTGTAGATGGCTTACTTTTTTTCGTTTGTTCCATTGCTTCTCTCTAAAGTTACCTTTTTTCTTTCAGCCCAATTCCTGAAATCACGTGGAAAAAAATTGATGGTAGCCTACCCAGCAGTGCTGAGTTGAGCACGTTTAGTTCAGTACTCAAGCTGATAAACATTCAGCCTGAAGACGAAGGAATTTACGAATGTGAGGCTAGAAACTCAAAGGGAAAAGATAAGATCGAAGGAAGGATTACTGTTCATGGTAAGCACTCGGATTCCGTGATGGCAAAAAATGTTTCCCTTTCTAACAGTGTGTTTCTTCTCCAAACATCTACGATGTGTTTCTTGAAATCGCAAGATTTGGTCGCCAAATGTTATTATATTTCAAATGAACTGGTTGCAGACTCGCAAAGAACTTGAAGTGGTTTCTGGATCAATGTGGATGTAGGTATTCTGGAAGAATCAGATCAAATGGGCTGAGGGATCCTCTTCATACAAACCTATCTTGTGATGTGATGTGTCTCCAAGACATCCCTTGTTATATGGCATTCTGGGTTTGTGATCATTTCAACTTGTCTTGGGGACCATATCAAAATATTGGGATGAAATTCCATCTGGGTCTAGATTTACTCAATCAATGTAGAATTTCAGACAATCCAGAATTTGGCAAATTGTTGAACCTCGTCTGAAGTTTGAAGCCTGTTTAGTGTAGTTCAGAAAACTGGCTTGGCAGGAGCACAGGATTAGTTATGAAAGCGGCAAAGCTCAGGTGTAAAAAGAGCCCCCTTCGGCATGTCTGGTTGTCTTGCAAAATATTGTTTTGAATGGTGTTCAATATGTACCCATCCCTCGCTTGCTCCATCGCTCCATTACTTTTATGGTCTGTGCATTTCATCAGCATGGCATTTGATAGCCAACATAAAAACGGTGGTTGATGAAAAATGGTACAAAAATGGAAAAGTTCTTTTTTTTATCAACCTTTTTATTGTGGCAATCTTCCAAATGCCAATCTGCAGAAATGCACAGACCATTAAAAAAAATCCTCCCTGGATAATCCCTATTTACAGAGGTGAGCCACACTGAAATTCATAGAAAGGTCATTGAAAAGAACTAGCTGGTGCCACAACTCTTGTCACCGTCCTTTGCAAAGTGCGAAAGCGATAGTTAAAGAGGGCTGCCAGTGAGGACAAAGTTGAATAGGGAAAAAATAAACATTCCTGTTGTAATATTGAACGCAAAAGCTGGAACAAAATACAGTTCTGTGATTTATATGTAGGAACAATATATTGCATATACCATCATGGGTTTGCATCAAAACATTTAATTTATTACTTCAGGAGAATATATGTGAAGTGCAGACTATTTTAGAGTTTAATTTTGTGTAGCAGAAAAGCTAACACTCCATTATTAATGAGAAGAAATGATGTGATGGTTTGCAGAGGATACTTACTTATCACAGCATAGCATTTCAAATACCACCAAATACTGAAAAAAGATGTGTTCTTATCCTGCCCTTCACAGAAATCTCCCTCTCCTTTGTGTTCTTGTATATTAGCCGGTTTCATGCAGCAATTGAACAGATGTTAGACAGTCACTTGAATTGGAAGTGGTATAAATATGTTAATCATTATCTTCCCCTCTGTGATTTCCTCTCTGACATATTATCGTGACGTGTTTTTTTTTAACCTTACTGCACCTTCTCAGCAAACACCGACCTATGTTATGTCCAGCACTCAATCTGTCCCACCATCGGTGGGCGAGCTTTCATACACCAACATCAAGTTGCATTTATGTAGTGCCCTTCACACGTGGTAGCATCTCAGAGTAGTCAACAGTGGCAAAACTTGATGCCAAGATGGTGAGAGGAGGGAGGTAACCAAAGGCATAGTTGAAGGTCTTCAGATGTGATCTGAAGTCAATAAGAATGGGGCAAGGTGGAACGATTGAGACAGAGAATTCCATAGTTTGGGGTGTAATGATTAAAAGCATGGCCACTCTTGATGGAGCAGAGGGAAAAAGGTCAGAGCCAGCTAAGTGAAGGGGGCAGATAGAGCAGTGGGGTTTAAGCATTTTGTTCCTGCTCCCTGGAACTCATTCCTTGATTCCCTTGATTCCTTCTGCTATTCCCTCTCTTCACGTTCAAAACTAGAATTAAAACGATATATATTTGTTTCCCCTCTCAGCTCCCCCCAGCTCAGGCATCCAATTAATTGTGTGAAGCATTTGTGTTTATTGTTTTGTAGCCCTGCTTATTCTGTACACTCCATTCTTGTATGTGGGACATTGCTGTGTGCAAATTGGCTGCTGTTTTTCCAAAAAAAAGACGCACAACTTTACAGCATATTCTGTGAAGTGCTTTGAGACGCCTTGACAATGTGATGAGACCCTATTTGAAATGCAAGGATTATTATTTTTTATTGTTACACTTGGTGGAGAATGGCTGTAATCTTGGCAGTGATTTCACTGCCAGACATGCAGTATAAGTGCTACAAAATGTTGAGTAAAGCCACAATTATAAGGCACGGTAAGTCTTGACTGAAAGAATTTTGGGATTTTCCTGCCCACACAGTGAGATTTCTCACTTTGAGGGATTATTACTATTTCTTAACATGGGGAAGCAGCAATTTATGAAACAAGATTATAGCTTTTGTATAAAGCAAGTTATTGTAGCCGTTGTCTTGAGCTTGTTTTTGTCTTGACCCAGCTCGGGTACGAACACTGAACGTCCAGCATCTTCGGACGTCCTCCTGACCTAAAAGGCGCTATACAAATGTAATTTTGTTGTTGTTGTGATGGTTGTTTGGCTGCATCCTTCTAGCTAAATTGTATTAACAACTCAGATAGCTATCTAAAGCACTGTTGCTGAATTTATCCTCAGGTCCATGTCAATCAATTACATTGTATTCCTGAAAAGTGTGATATTATTCAACATAACACTAAACTAGGTGTATATATTTTGTGTCTCTGTCAGCTCATCCTTACTGGGTGCATCCAATAAATGACACTGTGAAAGATATCAAGAGTGACCTTATCTGGCCTTGTGAAGCCAAAGGAAAACCTCAACCCACATATAAATGGTTGAGGAATGGAGAAACCACATACGGGGTATGAACTATCCACATCTTGTTGTCGTGCCTCAAAAGGTTGCCATATCTGTGTACATTTGTGCACATGCACATGTTTGAGAATGAAAGAGTTGCATGGGATGTATGTGCTTCCAAAGTGTTCTCTATTTCTTCAAATTTTTGTGTAGTGTTTTATAACAATGTTGTACTCACGTTCTTGTGTTCTCCGTTGCAGTTCAAGAGCTGTTTATTTTCCTTGTGTTGTTTCCGCAAGACTGTTTTCCTGAATTTTAAGTAATTGTTAGATTTTGAAAGAGAATGAAAATTTGCCTCCTTTTCTGCAGTTCCTTAACACGCAGAGCTGTTGAAACAAACTTGATACCAAAACGTTTTGTGCGTTACCTTTTTGTTTTAACTCAATCTAGAGTCGATTTCGTGTGAATAGAGGAGAGCTGAAAATCTTGAGACTGACCCTCGAGGATTCTGGAATGTATCAGTGCGTCGCGGAGAATAAACATGGATCCATCTACTCCAATGCTGAGCTGAAGGTTCTGGGTTGGTATCTTGAACCAAATGACCGGCTGTATTTAATCTGCAGAGCTTCCACAGGACTGTGCCCACATCTCCTAATTTTCCATGTGCATTTCTCACAATTGTGTGTTTTTTAAAAAGAGTTAAAAGGAAGCATTTTTTGGTTAGAAGTTGAGGAGCATTGAAAGTGAGATGTTCTGGATTTACTCTATTTTCATTGAATATTTGGAAGGTCTAGAAGTTGGCAAATTGTTGAGTTCAATAGTTTAACTTTGCAGCTGGTTTTCTGTAATTAAAATTTAGACCATCCTGTTTATTCCTCATTTTTCACACACTCATCCACTCAGGGAACCCTGTGATTCTCCCCCCCATGATTCTCCCCCAACCCCCTCCATGATTCTCCCCCCATGATTCCCCCCCCCCATGATTCTCCCCCCTTGCCATGTTCCGAGAACACAGTGGCCATTTTTGTTAACCCGACTCAACCCCAATTAAAGCAGAAGTCACTGGGAACACTCAGCAGGTCAGGCAGCATCTATGGAGAAAGGAAAGTGAGTCAAAATTTTGGGTCACTCGAAACATTGACTCACTTTCCTTTCTCCATAGATGCTGCCTGACCTGCTGAGTGTTCCCAGCGACTTCTGCTTTTGTTTCAGATTTCCAGCATCTGCAGTATTTCAACCTCAATTAAGATCAGCTAACTCTGCACAGACTGGGAATGGAATCAAAATCTTTATAACCCAAGTAACCCAGGGTACTTCACTTGATGGGTTATTGGGGGAACTGAATTGATGGTTCTGAATGTTTACGACAGGTTACAACTGGATTGTCATTGTCACGTACAGGAATTATGTTACTCACCAGAAATCTGTTTGGTGTCTCTTCAGCTTTATCACCAGATTTCAAACTGAACCCCGTGAAGAAGAAGCTTTTGGCTGCCAGGGGAGGCAAAGTCATTATCGAGTGCAAACCAAAGGCTGCTCCCAAGCCAACCTTTACATGGAGCAAAGGGACTGAGCTACTCCGGAACAGCAGCAGGTCAGCGAGATGCGATGAATCACGTGAAATATGTTAGGATCTTAGTGCAGTAATGTCTACATGTCCTATATTTTCAGTCAATCCAAAATAACCACAACAGTAAAAATTACATTTGTAAATTGCGTTTCACATTGGGAGGTTGTCCCAAGGCGCTGGACAGTCAGGGATTTGGACCCGAGCTGGGGGTTGGAATCAGGAGAGGTGGAGGGCAGGGAGAATACTGCTTATTAAGCTCCACGAAAATGAAACTGTTCAAATACTTTGTGTGTTACACCTTTTGTGTTCATTATAGGATGTCCATTGGGTTTGACGGCAGTCTGGAAATTCGAGATGTCACCGAGACTGATAAAGGAAGCTACACCTGTTTTGCAGTGAATGACAGAGGGAAGGCAAACAGCACAGGCACTCTTTCAATAACAGGTAGGATCAAATTCTCCCCCTGATTAAATGTTGGGACAAGTGCCAGTTAAAGGCAGGCAGAGACTGGACAAGGCGGGAGAGAGAAAGGAGTCGAGAAAGGTTAAGAATTAGTTGAAAGTGCCAGGAACACACTTAGGTAATGGGCCACCTGGTACAGGTGTGATTGTGAATCATCAGTAGAAGGGCTGCGAATAGTGCGATTGGAAGCAACGAGGAGGGAGTTCATTTGGGAAAGATGCTATAGGAGAAATACAGTAGTTGAAACGTTGTACAGCTCCTGTAGAGGTAAAATCACTCCAAGCGCTAACATAAACTAAAAATAAACAGCAGTCAGAATGACCAAAAGTAGCAAGAGTTCAACGATATCATGTGAATGGAAGTTACTTTGTGCTCCATCTGGCATCCTTGGAGTGCATGAAGCATCTGTGCTGCCAGCATCTGAGGATTATAAGATTTGCCGCTGCTGTTTCCTTCTTGACAAATGGGCTCGTGTGGGCGGTTTTGGCATTTGAAACAAAATTTTCTGGAACTTTCTCATTAATCATGCAGACAACTGCTGAGTGTTCCCCATTGCCTTCCATTTCTTCATTAACAGCTTGAAGGAAAACAAATTAGACTCAGACCAAGTACAAGGGAACCCCATTTTAATGTGGATTTCAACCAAGAGAGACAAACAGCTGTTATCTGTCAGTGTGCTTCCAGGCTCTTGATCTCACTGTCCCTGGGACATGTTGTGCACCTGGCTGACTGCTATTTTATTGCAAAATTGAGTCGGGGTGAGGAGAGCGGACACTCGGGTTCGGTAATAAATGTTGGGTGAGCAACCAATTGGCCTTGTAAGTGAGGCTGCTCTGCATTGAATGGTATTTTCAAGGGATTCTCTTGTACATGCCAGAAACAAAACACGCATGAGGAAGGACAGCCCCACCTGTATCCCATTCAAAATGCTACTGAACACGGCCAATAGGCGCCCTCCAGCCCATTGAATCTATCCACACTTTTACTGGTACACAGCGAGAGGAAATCACAGACATATGGAAGCCATTTTAATTACAAACCGGTCACAAGCAATATTACCTTTGATTGAGTTGATATTGTTAGCTCCACAAGTTAACAGTACCTTTAAGAATTTCACTATTAGAACCGCAGAGTAATCTCTTTTCCCTTTAAGTGCACAGACGGGTGGGTGCATTTCCTTCAAGAAAATGCATTCAAACCACATTTGGGATACTCAACAAGCTTTGTGTGTGAAAGCACAGTGCTTTGTGATGATGAGGCATACAGATCAGAAAGATTCCTGGTCAATGCTGTCTTTCTCATCTGGATCAGTGGTGGGATCAATGACAATAGCATCTTGAGACTAGGAAGGAGGGAAATCGGATGGCTCTCTGGTTTTGATGCTGAGTGGATATCTATGGTAAGCTTGGATGCCACACTGTCAAGTCGCCTGTGAACACCCACTGCCCAGGCATATTGATATTTTGACATATTGCCATTTGGGAGGGGTACCAGAGTGCTGTTGGTTGAGTCTACGGATTTGTAGCCAATCATAAGGCGCTCAGGAGAATGAAATGTGGGTGCTTATATAACTGTGTGAGAAGGGAAGGGAGTTCAATGCAGTATAAATTTGTTATGAAAACTGTGATGGATTTTTTTTATAAAACACAGGCAGTGGTGTTTTAAATGCAAGGTTAATTGATTCCTCAACTGTGCTTTTAGAATTTTTATGATATAAGTGGAATGTTTAAACCCCATCAGGGACTTGCGAACCTTGGAATATTTTCCTGCTCAGCTCAATATATTTGGAAAAAGGGGCGAGAAAAGGATTTCAGGATGAAATACAATCTTCGACTAGACTAAACTGAGATTCTGCAGCCAGGAAAGTAATCAGATTCCCATGTCCAGCTCATTAATGTCGGCTCAGTGTTTGACAAGCTGGTCTGCTTAAGCAAAGAACAAAGTTTTCAAGTTACAAGCTTGATGTATCATTAACTTCTCCCGTGGTTGTAAGAAAATGGCAGCATTTGCTGATTTATTTCCAGCAATTCTGAAACAGTAACAGGAAATGTGAAAACCTGTCCAAGGCTTTCCTTAGAACCTATCAATCAGTTCCTCAGAAACTGTCACCGTGTACCTCAGGTACATTTGCAATATACAGTAGCAACATTTCTGCTGCTCTTCCAAGTTCATCATCAGTGTGATGAATGGACAGCCTCCAAGCTTGAAGGCATGCCCAATAGCTCATATCAGCATGAATGAGCACTGTGGTTTTCACAGCAGACAGCAATCCAAGTACCTCAATTGTCAGCTGTTGTTAGTTTTTTAACGTAATGGTTCAACAAAGCTGGTATTTTTCGTAACTTTGGGTTTCAATTTATGAGGCAAGTTTGCTGTGCTGTGTTGCCGAGGCTTCTTGGGTTTCAGCATTCAAAAACATTTCCTCAGTTTATTATATCTATTTAAAAAGTCTGTGCCAAATCGCACTGAGGAAACGCAGCACACTATTTTCTCTGCCTTTCGTGCATAGCGCTGGGGCTTGAAACTCATGGACACACCACTAAAATAAATATGGATATTGAAGGAGAGGATTTGTGGTAATATGCCCACTGTATTTTAGGCCAGTGAAATTTTGTTCCGGGTAATGGTGCTTCAGATTGATTACAGAAGGAATGTTGGTTTCATTTTATCAAAGTCCAGGCAGTGTGTCAGTGGGTCCATTGGTAGCAATTGCCTCTGAGTCAGAAGGGTGTGTGTTCCAAATTCCACGTTGGGACATGGAACTCGTAATCTAGGCTGACACTCCAGTACGTTTCTGGCACTGTGCTGCAGTGTTGGAAATGGCTTCCTTCAGATGAGAAATAAAATTGAGATCATCTCTGCTGATTCAGATGGACGTAAAAGGCACCATGGCACTATTTGAAAAGAGGATGGTGTTTCCTACCGCTATCCTGGCCTACAATCCCCCAGATACAGTTTCTCATTCAATTCGTGGTTGTTTAAGGGGCATTGCTGTGTGCAAATTGGCTGCCACGTTCACCTACAAAATAAAACAGTCACTACACTTTACAGAATATCTGTGTGAACTTTGAGATGTTCTTCTGACATAAAAGACCCTACATCAAATGCAAGGATTATTATTGTAACATAAATTGTGAAAGTTTAATTGCCTGGAGAAGATGAGAAACAGGTCAGAAGTGGCTGTGATATAAACATTGCATTAGTAAAATCCTAATGAATGCATGAATCCTCACCGCCTGTATTGGTGTGCACTCTGTGTTAATGGGGCGTATCCTCCAGTCTATCCTCCAGGTAGTGTTACTGACAGTGAAGTGTGAACAGGTCACCTTCCAGGTAGTAATACAGTGCATCGTCCAGGAAAAGGAAAGCAATGTAGGGAATGGCTTTCAAACCGTGCACCAGGTAGGTGGTATTTGGGAACACCATTGAGACCCTGATGTCCTGGAGGCTTTCAACTCTTTTTACATGTGAAAACACTGAGGTATTAACAGAGAACATTGCACACATGGGAAGATGGAAATATTAGGTCATTCATTGTAGGAGAAACTTTGTAGTTAGTATTGAAACCTGTGTTGTACAATGTGAACTGAATCGCAAGTGACTAATTGACCTATTTCTGAGAATTTCTAATGCCAAGGATTGTTGTTGCCCTCAGGCAATTTCAAACTGAAACTACAACTTCTTACACCACAAAGCAGCCAATGTGTAACCATTCTGTCACTTCAACCTCTCTGCATTTGCTAAACTGCCTCTGGTAACTTTTCTAGGATTAATTAAGTCAAACCACAGATGCCTAAAAAATGAAATGGTTTGTAGCACAGCTCTGAGTTCATGAATCCCCACCGCCTGTATTGGTGTGCACTCTGTGTTAATGGGGCGTATTTCTCAGATGTGAGTGCACAAATCCCTGCGACTTTATTTGTGTGCACTCTGTCACTGGGTTATAAAATATAATAATCCTTGCATTTGATATAGCGCCTTATCACATCTTTGAGACGTCTCAAAGCGCTTCACAGAATATACTGTAAAGTGAATTGACTGTATATTTTGTGGGGGACCGCCGCAGCCAATTGCGCACAGCAGTGTCCCACAAACAGTCGTGGATTGAAGTGACCAGTTTATTTTTTTTTGCAGCCCTCGGACCTTCCAGAAGGCACCTGGAACAGTTCCACTTTTCATCCCACAGATTAGTAGATGTGCACAATTCTAACAGCAAATATGTTTGATGAACGGCTTTTGTGATGCTGTGACTTGCACCAACATATCACATGGGCACACATCAATTAATGTTGGTTAAGGCCATCTGACCTTACTGACCTGGGAATCCAGAGATGTTTAAAAGACCAAATGGATACACAGCGCCCCTCTCTGGTTCAACACGAGAACACTGTTCAAGCTCATCTAAAGAATCTGAGGGTGCTTCAACACAGCTTCTGTTTGAACTGGTTGGGAAGTATTCAGCAAAAAATGCCAATCAACATGGCTCAATTGATAGCACTCTCGTTGCTATGTCAGAAGGATGTGGGTTCAAGTCCCACTTCAGGCTGATATTCAAATGCAGTGCTGTGGGGAGCGGCGCATTGGTTGAAGGTGGTGTCCTTCAAATGAAACGTTATACTGTTTGGATGTTCAAGTGGACGCTAAAGATCTCATTTGAAAATAGAAGAGTTTTTTTCTGATTTCCTGGCCATTATTTCCTCAGATTGGTAATTCATTTCATGGCTATTTGTGGGACAATGATGTGTCCAACTAGCTGCCCCATTCACCTACAAAACATACAGTACATTTACTTTGCGGTAAATCATGTGATTTTGAGACGTCCCTCAGCATGAAAGGAGCAGTATCAAAGACAATGGTTATTTATGCGTTGCAATAACCAGCCACTTTGCAAGAGCTTCCTGAAATAGCTTACCCTGCAGTTTGCCTTCATTCTGTTGTAGTGCTCACCACTGAAGCCTTTGAAAGCCCAACTCATAGAAAGACTTCCCTGAGAAGGAATTGAAGATTCAAAACCAGACCCTAGCACTGCCTGATGTGGTGCAACATCAGTACCCACTAAAAAAGCAACACATTGCGCTGACAGTCAGCCACTTGTCTCTTCCATGAACAGCAATGCTGGACTGCGCATTCTCACTATAAAGTCCAAAAATCCCTCAAACAGCATGTTTCCTATATGATGGTCTGGTCCAAGAGGACACTCAGTGATGTAGAGAGGCAATGTTGCAGGCATTAGCACAGTGTTTACACTCACCAGAACCTATCAAGCAACAGTGTTACTGAGGGAGGATATTTCACACAAAATATCTGATCATGGGGTTTTGTCTGACTTGAAGCATAGAGGACAGGATAAGAGATAACTGACAGATGCCGACAACATGTGGTTATTCGTCAGTGATATTTGGGGTTTATACAAAATTCCAACTTAGTGCACGTCTGCTTTATGTTGAACGTACAGGGCTTGGATTGTACTGCAGGTTTTCAGTGTGTTGTGATTTAAAATTCTGAGAAGACGCCCCATGAGAGAACAATTTTGGCCACAGAAAAGCAAAGAAAGTCTGTTGTCCTTAGAGATGAGTCCTCAAGGAATTTTGAAGGAAATTTCATGTCGTGTGACCAAAAATATAGCTGGGAGAGTAATTTAGGTTTGGGAGATAAAGAGAAACTGGAACTAATTTGTGTTTTTTTTTGGACAACAGCAAAACAATTCAGCCCGCAAAGAGCGTAAGTGCTACAAAGACGTTATCTCCTGAAGGGCTTCCCACCGAGAACATGTACACACCTTTTAAAATGAGAATCTGGTCTATTTAAAACACTGAATGCAAATTGATTTCAGAGCACAAATATATAAAGGACAATATAAGAACATAAAAACATAAGAAATAGGAGCAGGAATAGGCCATTCGGCCCCTTGAGCCTGCCCCGCCATTTAATAAAATCGTGGCTGATCTTCTAACTTAATTCCATTTACTCGCCCTGTCCCCATATCCCTTAATCCCTTTAGTTTTAAAATTCTGACCTATAAAAATATGCTGCCTGATAAATAATCATCCTGGAATAATTCATCATTCGGGTTACATAATTGTTATTCTATGTATCTTCAGCTTCATCTGTTTGTGTGTGCAATAGGTAATATATCCCACAATCATCAAATGTTCACTGTTATCTAAAACAACCCAATAGATCATGAAAAATTAGGGGGAGTTTTGTCCTTTTTTTCTCCTGTATTATTTTGATTCCTCTTGCTCCTGAATCCCCAGAAAGCAGTCACTCGTATTGGATATGATTGTCATTCTGTGTGGCATTTGGCTAATGACTGACTCCAATCCTCATCCACCATTCATGTCCCCAACATCTACATCCAGCAAAGTTTGTTTGATGCAGATTGGAGATAATTTGATTTTTCTTTTTAGATCTGAGGACACTTAGACGGATGACAGCCCTTTTGTTAGCAGTTAGCTGATGTTGACTCATGGTGTAGGCCAGTAATCAATCTGAGACTTTCCTGCGTTTTGCCACGGAGACAGAATTGTAGTTGCCTTGGTGGTGGTGAGGGCAGCAATGAAATAAATAAACAAAATCTTGCTCTTAGGATAGACATCTCAAAGTTCTTCCCAAAGACACAACTAATAATAATACTAGTCCTTGCATTTGATATAGCACCTCATCACGTCTTCGAGATGTCTCAAAGCGCTTCACAGTAAAGTGAATTGACCGTATATTTTATGGGCGAAATAAAGGGAGGAACGTAGGGAGAATTTAACCAAGGCATGGTCAGTGAGAAAGATTTTTAAGAGCACTTTGAAGGCAGCAAGAGAAGAAGCAGGATTTGTGGGGTGAGGTGGTTTCGAGAGAGGATGCAGTGGCTGAAAGCTAAGCCACTGATGGTGGGATGGGACAGTTGAGGAATGAACACTGGACTGGAGCTGGAAAAGCAGAGGCTACTGGTAGGAAAGAAGGGCTGCAATTATAAGACAAAAGTGAGAATCTTGATCTCAACAGTAACCAAAAGAGAAACAGTCTGCAAAAACTCAATGGTTCTATGCCTAAGCTTTTCAGAACAACATCAGGAATGGTGAAATATGCTTGTGGTGAGGCAGCAAGACAAGTTGTCTCCTTTCACATTAGGCAAACCGTGTTCCACATCCACACTCACGGAGAGAAGCCAGAAAGGCTTGGTTGTTATGAAAATTATTACCAGTGATCATATCACATGTTGTAGTTTTGACCACCACGTTGTAAGCTCACATTCTACTTTGGATGGTGGGTTAACACTTACAGAAACTTTAACAATGTGAAATTATTGTGGTAGGATCTTTGACATTTTGCTTTGTGTTATTACAGAGGCCACCAAAATCACCCTCGCCCCATCGAACATTGATGTCACTGTTGGAGAAAATGCCACTATGGAATGCCACGCATCCAATGATCCCACCCTGGACCTTACGTTTATCTGGTCAACCAACGGTTACCCTGTGGACTTTGACAAAGAGAAAGATTACTTTGAGCGCAATGTTCTGGTAAGTGTTTTGTTTTAACGACTTATGCAGTTCATGTGGTTCAAGTGCAGTGTCCTTTGCAAGTCATTTTCTTGTTTCAAGTAAATGCTGCATCTGAGCCTAATCAAATGAGCATCTTTATTACAATATGCTTGATGCTGTATTTCAACTTAATTTACCTTATGAGACTGTAAGCCACAAGCTTCTTTGTGCACTGCTAAACTTTGTTTCATTCACATTCATGAATCCTGCTGTCTTAGGAACATAGGAGAGCAGGAGGAGACCATTTGGCCCATCATGTGCCAGCCTGGCGCAGTGGTAGCACTCTTGTCACTGGGTCAGAAGGTCGTGGGTTCAAGCCCCACGTCGGAACTTTGAATCGTAATAGTCTAAGCTGCCATTTCACTGCAGTGCTGGGGGTATGTTGCATTGTCGGAGGTTCCGTCCTTTGAATGTGATGTTCATCCGAGATCTTATCTGCTCATTCAGGTGGACATTAATTGAAAAGAGAAAGGAGTTTCTCCTGGTGTCCTGGCCAACAAATCGCCAAATCAAATTGCTGTCTATGGGACATTACTGTGCACAAACTAGCTGCCACAATTTGCCCACAAAATATACAGCCAATCCACTTTACAGTATATCCTGTGAAGCACTTTGAGACGTCTTGAACATTTTATAAGGCGCTATATCAAATGCAAGGATTACTATTAATATCATCGAGCCTATTCCACCAGTTGACTTGGTCTTGGCGGAGATTTAATCCCAAAACCCGTCCTTTCATCATACTCCTCAATACATCTACCTAAGTGCCTGTCAATCTTTCTTAAATACATTGGAAGCCGAGTAAGCCGCGCACATTGGGGGCAGCCATTTTGTGTGCTTGAGAGGAGACCGAGGGTAACTGAAATACCGTTCCCATCCAGTAGAGGAGCCTGTCGACGCTGTATAAAAATAAGTAATAATGTTGTTTCGCTTCAAACCATATTAACTGACCAAACAGGACATCCTATGTTAACTTAGGAGTTAAAGCTAAAATACTCCCTCAGAATTGAGTAAAAATATATTTACCTCTGTTTGGCTGAAAAATAAGAGCAGAGGATGGCGCTTCCTCCCTCCCATTGCCCTTCCCATTGGATGGGAAGGGGACCAGTTAGCGCCGTCATTGAGGCGACTGACAGCCTGCAGCTGCTTGTGAATGGATGGGGGCTCCATCCATTCACAAGCAGCTCAGCTGTCAATCAATCAATCATGATTTCCCTCCCTTGTTCTTCCCTGTTTCTCCGCCCCCTCACTGATTGACAGCCCAACTCCAGCCGCTTGTGAACGGCCCGAGTGAGTACATTCAGCAGTGACCGGCTCTCTACAAGTTGCTTGTGCTGCTTAGTTTGGGTGTAACTCTTTATTTGGAGGGATGGGAGGGTATCTCATTCTTTTCCAAAGCTAATGCTTTCCACATTATGTCCTCCAGCTGCTAGATAGTTGATAAACAATGCAAGGTAAGACACATTTTGGAACATATACTTTTATTGCCTGTGTGCATTTGGGAGGTTTTATTTTGCAATAGGCTCTTGCTTCAGTCTGCCAATGAGATGGAAAAAAACAATGTTTCAGTGAGTCTGGTAAATCAATACAGTACTTTCTTCTGAAGACTATTTTGTGCGATTGCATGTAAATATGTTTTCACCCCCTTGAATCTCCCAAAGGAAACACGGTTTGTTTTTTGAGTCAGATGTTATATTATTGTAATGTTCACTTCACGTTACAAATTGGTTTAGTTTGTTCAGAATGTTAGACACAGAATGTTCTGTGGTTCCTGGTGGTGTTGCACTCTGGGAATTGTCAGAAAATAATTGCAGATGTTGTTTGATGGAAAACATGAAGTTGGAGAACTGTAAAGGGAGCTCAGTAGTAAAAGAGGTACAGATTGGGTGCTTTTGGCTGTTTCCAAATAAGAGAATGAACTCCAATTTCAATTGCGTTACCCCAGTGTCATTTGTCAAAGCGCAACAACAACAGCAAATTTATATTTATACAGCTCCTTTCACATTGGGAGGATGTACCAAGGTGCTGGACAGACCAGGGTTTGCACCCGAGCTGGAGGTAGGAGCCGTGAGAATAGGGGGGAGGGAAGATGCGAAGGTGCACCGAACATGCAGTCAAAGAGGAAGGTCTTGAGACAGACCTTGAAGGAGATGAAGGAAGGAGTGAGGTGAAGGAACTCCGGGATGGAGTTCCAGAGAGTGGGGCCAGATAGGCTGAAAGCCCAGCCGCTGATGATGGCAATCCATTCGGGACAGAATCTTTTGGGCAGAAAATAGGCTGAAGTGACCCAGCTCGTGTTTCCTGGGAAGAATTGTGAGGCTCAGTTATCAAAATGATCAAGTTGAGCTTCTAGCCCAATGAATGCAGAGGTGACGATAAGAGGTTTACAATCTCTCCTGAAAAGGTCAATGAGAATGGAAGCTGAATCTCTGTCCACCTTCTCTGAGGAGACATGCTCTACCCTTCAAAGCAACCTCTGAATGATTTTCAGAAGATTGTTTATTCACCAGAGATGATATTACTGTTTTACTGAATGAAACAGCCTGTCAGTATCCGTTTTGTTAATTGAAGTCTGCGAAGGAGAAAAGCAGTTGTTGGGCAGGTCACCTTTACTTTGTACACCATATAAATGTTAAGGTGTCAGCCTGGCTCGATTAGTAGTCCTCACACCTCTTAGTCAAAAGGCTTTGCATTCAAGTCCCACATTGGAGTCCTGTAGCATATTGGTTAGAGCGTTTGGCTCGCAAGCCATGACACTACTCGAAGGGAGATTTTTTCCAGTGTTTTGGCTAACAAGCTCTCAAATAAAATGTCTCATTCATTTCAAGGTTGTTTGCGGGACATTACCACGTGCCAATTGGCTGCCGCTTTTGATTACAAAATACACAGTCATTACACTTTATAGTAAAACCTGTGAAGCTCTTTGAATCGTCCTACTGATGCAAAAGGCATGACACCAAATACAAGCAGGAGTGCTAGTCGCAGTAGATAATAGCTGCAAGTTGTTGTTATACAATTGAAGGGGGAGATCAGATGGTGCCATGAATGGTGAGAGGGATTTCATAATTGTCATACAAACACAGAGATTAGATCAGTGCCTTGATTCAATTGGGGCTAGATTCAGTCTTTTTTCTCTTGGCATATGGTCCATTTCCTTCATCTGGATGTTTTCCAATACATTTAGAAGATGAACATGGGGCTATGTTATTTACAACACAATTATCACTTTGGATGAAAAGATTTATAGCTCAGGCTCTTGCTTAAGCGATGTGGATCACCTGGAAACACTAGTAATGTTATCAAGTCACTTTTTGGAGAGCACAGTACAGTTTGCTATAATTTTAGTCCAGAGTAATTTGCTGTGCTTTTTCATGCCAATGTTTATGTTTTGTCTGACAGCTAATTATACCACTGAAGTTGTTTCGTTTTCATGTCAGTTAGTCTGCTTTCCTTGTGAATTTCTTCAGTTGTGCCCGTGAACGAAATTTATTTCAGAGCTAAGCCATGCAAATCAAAGGATTCCAGGTTTGAATTTCCAGTCTGTGCTGTGTTAGCTGATTTCAGCCAAGGCATCATTTAGGGATGCTATAGTTGACTTTGGCACCAATTGGGCTAGCGAGGAAGAAAAACAGCTTTGGGTTCCCACTCCTGATCATGATTGAATACTGTGTACAAGGCAGGATCTCATGTAACTATGATGCTCACAGTGTCAAATATACCATAGGCACTCACTGCCAAAGCTCACAGTGAAGAGTTGTAACTTGAACAATGTAAGAAAGGGTGCTCAATGCTACGAGTCTATACCCCAGGAACAAGTCAGCGAATAAGAATTTGCCAAGTTCTGGATGCACTGAAATGCTATCTAAAGAGAGTAAATCTAGATCCAGGAGGAATTTCTCCATATTTATCTTCCTGACTTTGATGTTGTTCTGTATCCCTGCTGAACATTTGTTACCCATTCAGCCTCCTTTCTGTGGGTCATTACATGACTTTGGTACTGTATCTAGTTACTGTGATGTGTTATCTGTAACAATAGACTACTACTCAACAGGAAAATAGCAGAACCCATATTTATTGTCTTTCAAGATAATTGCTTGCAAACCATTACATTACCAAACTAATCAAAGATAACAGTCAGCAAACCTCCCAATGGATGACTAGGATTGCAAAGCCTGAAGTATCATGGAGCTGTTTTATTTGTAACATGTCAAATCCTAATCCCAGTCTCTCCAAACTCAATCCTAGGCCTTATAAACAAAGTTTTGAATCCCTCTTGTAGTTTGGTATTTCATAACTCATTGCACAGAATGAGGAATCAAATGCACCAAGCTGCAGTTTTGATTTGGACAATCTTCTCATTGGATTTGAATTTCCCCTCCGCACATCTGGAAAAAATCCTAATAAATAGTCTAGAACTGTAAATTCAAACCACATGGCAGATCCCATCATCTCCGAGCATGGCCCTGTTGGTTCCACACAGTGGATCTAGTCCATTATCTTTAGTTTAGATTTTCTGGTAGCTTGTTTTTGTGAGACCCTCAGTTTTTTTTCTGTTTAAAGGAAAAGCTTCAAGCTCATACTCTGAGTGGATGAATTACACTGGAAGAAGAAATGATTTACATTCTGCATTTGAAGTTAATGTTGACTTCGCTTCAAAGGAATGCAGACATAATGGTGCGGACGTCATGCCTTTCATAATATGTTTCAGGTGTCAGCCTGGCTCAGTTGGTATCATTCTCGCCTCCAAATCAGAATGTTGTGGGTTCAATCCCCACATTGGGACTTTGGCTGACACTTCACAGCAACGCAGGGGGAGCGATGCATTATCTGAGGTGTCATTCTTTACGCGTTTTACTGAGGTCTTGTCTGCCTTTTAATGTAGTCGTTAAATATCCAAGAACTTTTCTAAAGGGAGGCAGTCTTTCCCAGGAAACCAGCCAGACATCCCCCAACATAAAAAATTCAAACGAATATTCACT